CCCTAGGGGCGGTGCTCAGTTGTATAGTGCATTGTGGCAGACTTTGGTGTCAAGCAGAACTGTATGAAAGAAGAGCCACCAGTAATGACTTACACACATATACACACACATGTAAACATTCGAGCTCGGTGCGCATAGCCATGCCTTTACACGCAGACGTGCACATACACAGTCTCGTACACATATACACGTACGTTCGTCGAGACATGCACTGATATGTACGTATCCTCGTACTTACGCAAACACATACACTTGTACATAGAGACACACACGTACTAACACATACAGACACACATACATCCATGGATACACAAGTGTATCATCAAAGATGTGTTTTGCAAATGTGACCTCCGACACGCAAAACGGTCTCGCAAGTATAAAATGCTGGTAGCTGTCCAAAGTGTCTTCTCCGTCTTGTGAAGGATCGCGCTTGGCGACGACGCGTTCTGCCTTACTTCCTGCAAGTTGGCGTAGTATCATATCTACTGTGCGTTTCAGGGCCCGCACGCGTCACGTGCATCGAGAATCATGGGTATGGCAACGGCGACGGAGGCGGCGGCGGCGACGGCGAGGGTGACGGCGGCGACGGCGACGGCGACGGCGACGGCGACGGTGACGTATCGTCCTCAGCCTCAGTCTCCGCCTGCCTCAGCACCAGCCTGCCTCAGCGTCGGCCTCAGCCTGTCTCAGCCTCAGCCTGCATCAGCTCAGCGTGTCCCAGCCTCAGCCTGCTCCAGCTTCAGCTTCACCCTCAGCCTCGGCCTCAGCCTGCGTGAGCCTCTTTTGCTCTCATGTCTATCATACGTTTCATGTGCTATACGTATCATACATGACACGGGGATGTGTGTCAAAACATGCCCCAGAAATGTGACCAACTCTGGTGTGTATGTGTCCCATGGCTAGCAGACGTATCATGTGCAATATGTATCATGTGCAACACGGCTCACGTGTAATATGTGCTCCGAGGGCTTTCCCACGGAGTCGCCAGACCCATCTGGGGATCTTGGGAGGGCCTCCCAGGGCCCTGTGGTTATGTATTCTCTTTAGGCCTTCGGCCCCAGCCGCCAGACCTCTCTGGGTATCTGGGGGGTTCCCAGGGCCCGATTGTCTTAGTTTCTGTGACCCGATTCCCAGGGGAAGTTTATGAGGGCGTCTGGGGGGTTCCCAGGGGAAGTCTATGAGGCCTGTGGATTCAAATAAAAAGATGAAGTGAGTATGCCTGCTCTGGTCGCATGTGCGGCGGCGGACTTCGTCTTTCCGACGGCGCTCGCATGAGTGTTCTGCGTGTGCGGTCGTATGGACTTTGGCATTTGGGCACATGTATGCGGTTCGCTTCTGTTTGTACGTAGCGGTTTCTGCTCAAGCCGCTTACTGTATATCGCGAGATCGTATTCACCTCCATATTGCCGGCCTTCCGTATGGCTTCCCAGATGGCCGGTCGGCTCGACCCCGTGACGGGCGAGTATTACCCAAGCGATGATGAAGTGCGCTACAGTATGGAGCGCTGGCACACGCCACCCAACCACGAGGCGTATGCGCGGCGCTGGCTCAAGCAGTGTGGCTCGGAGAGGTGGTTCGCGTGCGGTATCTTCTTCCCTATTCTATGGGAGGGTGTCAAGGGCGTATGCCTCGCCGTATCGAGCGTTATGTCCACGAGGCAGTCGAAGACGAACAACGACCCGGACTACCAGCACAGTATGGGGGGCATCCCCGAGCCGGAGTGGCTTTACTTCGACGCCTTCTTCTACGCGCACGCGGTATTCGGGAACTTCTCGGTATTCCAGGATGAGAGGCTTGGGAAGCCCATTGGCTACCTTCTGCACGTATTCGACACGCTGTGCACCGCGCGAGGTATCGTCGCCTGGAAAGCCAACCTCTTCGTCCACCCGGGCCAGTGGGTGTATAGCAGTATGCGGTATTTGCTCGGTCAGCTCGCTATTCCCATTCATGCGGAGATCGTATCCGGCCTCTCCTACAGGGCCCTCGCCACCTTGGACGTATTCATTGCGTATCACGCGGCCTTCATGGGTACGGACCCGCAGAAAATGGCCATTTGGAACGTATCCCCTGAGGTCGGCCCAGAGATGAAGTATCCGCGTCAAGACCAGTGGTGGTGGTTGCCCGTATGGCGGTCTTTTGGTCAGAGCGACGAGTATCCGAACATGCTCGATTACCCGGCCTTGCCACCGCAGGTCCACAACGTGCTCGCGTTAGCACTGCCGTATGCAAGCCCCGGCTCTCTCGCCAGCAGGCGTATCGGCAATATCATTGGGCATTTGGGAGCGCACGGGTATCAGCCAGGCCCGCACCTGCATCAGCCAGGCAGCCATGTACCCAAGCGCCTTTGCGACGTCGCAGACGACGAGTCGCCTTAGTATGCTTCTGGGTGAGTATACTCCTACGTGTGACTGGACCTGTTTGCGAAAGCAGGAGAAAGTATGGCACCCCTTTGTGTCCAGAGCCGCGCCGTCTGCGTTATTCCTTTCTCGCTTCTCTCCTTTCCTCCTTGTCCTGCTCCTCCTCCCCCTCTTGCGCCTCGGAGCCGTATTGGAACTGTCGATGGCCATCTCCCTGTCTCCCTCGCATGTCTGCTTGTACATATGTATAATTTCAGAACTAAACGTGCATGTGATCGTTTAGAACATGGTGGACCGTGCGTATGTCACGAACCTTGTGTACTTTCTCTCCCTCCGTCTGGCTGTGCACGCGCGCGTTGGGCAGTGAGAGTTAGGATCGCAGCGCCACCAGTGTATGAGCAATGCATGCGTCATCCTTGGGACTGTATAACAGCAGAAACAGACAACATTGCATCGCAGCGGGACAGCCATCGGGACAACCATCGGGACAACCATCGGGACAACCATTTGGACAAGCATCGGGATAACGATCGGGACAACCATAACCATCAGGACAACCATCGGGGCAACCATCGAGACAACCATCGGGACAACGATACCTTCTCTCTTGTGTCCTCCCACATCCCTCAGGAAGTTGCCCTAAAGATGTGACCGACTCCTCTCTCTCCTTCTCTCTGTCTCTCGCTCTTTCTCTGCTTCATATCTATCATACGTAACACATCTACTTGTGTAATCGCCTTCCCAGGAATTTGCCTCAAAAATGTGACCAACTATCTTGGCACTGCGTACCATCTCACGTGTACCGTGTACCACATCTTCTCAGGTTGCCTCACACATGTGACGAATCTCTTTCTATCTCTCTCTCCACTGGCTCTCTGTCTTGCTCTCTCTCTCTCTCTCTGTCTCTCTGTACTATGTATGTCATACGCAACAAATGCACCATGCGGGGCACATGCGGGGCCCAAACAAGTGATCAACCTCTGCGGGTGTGTACTCCACGCCAGTGTAGTATCCACGATCGTCCGCGCGCCACGAAGTGAAGTGTCCTGACGTCATAGGGCGGGAAGCTGGGTGTGGGTGGTTCCCGAGAGTCGTGTGGATGTTTGGTAGAGCTTGCATTGCCCCCCCACGAAGTGGGGGTATTGGCTGGCGTCGCATGAAAACCCTGGCACTGGGGAGAACACTGAGCGTTCGGTTAAAATGATTGTTGTTGTTGTTGTTGTTGTAATTGTTGTTGTACTTGTTGTTGTAATTGTTGTTGTTGTTGTTGTTGTTGTTGTTGTTGATGTTTGTTGTTTGTTGTTTGTTATTTGTTGTTTGTTGTTTGTTGTTTGTTACTTGTTGTTTGTTGTCGTCGTCCCACCCGCGACCTGCCCCGCGACCCACCCGCGACCCATCCCGCGACCCACCCGCGACCCACCCGCGACCCACCCCGCGACCCACCCCCGACGCACCCCGCGACCCACCCGCGACCCACCCGCGACCCACCCCGCGACCCGCTCACGACCCACCCCGAAACCCTTCCCGCGACCCACCCGCGACCCACCGGCGACCCACCCCGCGACCCACCCGCGACCCACCCGCGACCCACCCCGCGACCCACCCGCGACCCACCCGACGCGACCCACCCAAAATTTTCGGCGCCTGCGGCGGGTTTCTTTTGCATTCGTTCCAGGTGGAGAAACCCGACCCGCGACCCAAACCGCGCCCGCGACCCACCCGCGACCCACCGCGACCCACCCGCGACCCACGCGCGACCCACCCCTCGACCCACCCAAAATTTTCGGCGCCTGCGGCGAGCATCCTTTGCATTCGTACCAGGTGGAGAACCTGCGACCCACCCGCGAACCAAACCGCGTTCAGTGTACAAAGCAAAATTTTTCGGCGCCTGCGGCGGACTGTTTTTGAATTCCTTCCAGGTGGAGGTGGGGAGCCCGCGACCCACCCGCGACCCAAACTACGTTCACTGAACAAGTCAAAACTTCGGCGCCTGCGGCGGGATTCTTTTGCATTCGTTCCAGGTGGAAAGCCTGCGACCCAAACCGCGTTCAGTGTACAAATCAAAATGTTCGGCGCCTGCGGCGGGCTGTTTTTACATATATTCCATGTGAACGTGGGGAGCCCGCGACCCACCCGCGACCAAAACTACGTTCAGTGAGCAAACCAAAATTTCGGCGCCTGCGGCGGGCTGTTTTTGCATTCGTTCCAAGTCGCCCACCAGCGATCCCCCCCGCGCTGAATTTGTCAGAGCACGACGACGATGAGGACGAGGACGCGGACGAGGAAGAGGAGGAGGAGCAGGAGGAAAAGGAGGAGGAGGAGGCGCAGGAGGAGGAGGAGGAGGAGGAGGAGGAGGAGGAGGAGGAGGAGGAGGAGGAGGAGGAGGAGGTGGGGCGCCATCGACAGGGAAGGTGAGGGCCACGAGGTCCGCTGGCTCGACGCCCGCGTCGCCCGCGCCCGCCCCTTCACTCTTATCCGCAATTTCGGAGTGTTACGTAAGAGTAATGATAAGCATGCAATCAATAATACGGTCATATGCAAAAATGATAAGATGAATAACGAAGAAACATAAGCAGAGCAGGAGGAGGAGGAGGAGGAGGAGGAGGAGGAGGAGGAGGAGGAGGAGGAGCCTGCTGCTTCGAGGTTGGCGGCGTCGAGGACGTCGAGGTCGGCCAGACGGTCAGAGTGAGGACTTCCCGCGCCATCCTCTGCCTTCTCCTCCCCGAGGGAAGGAAGAGGAGGAGGAGGCGGAGGAGCAGGAGGAGGAGGAGGATGATGATGAGGAGGAGGAGAAACAGGAGGAGCAAAAGGAGGAGGAGGAGGAGGAGGAGGAGGAGGAGGAGGAGGAGGAGGAGGAGGAGGAGGAGGAGAGGAGGGGAGGAGGAGGAGGAGGAGGAGGAGGAGGAGAGGAGGAGGAGGAGGAGGAGGAGGAGGAGGGGGTTCCCCCCTCGAGGACCGGGGATCGAGATTCGAGATTCCAGACACCTCCCGCCTTTTTTCGGCTTGTGGTTTCGGGGGGACTGTCTTGGCCCCTCTCGCCCCTGGTCCGCCTCGAGCCCCCCCAACCTCTTTCGCGGGGTCTATTTCGGTCCCGTCGATCTGTTCTGACATCCCTCCCTCCCTCCTCGCGTCTCCTCGCTTCTCTTCCTCCTCCTCCTCCTCCTCCTCCTCTTCTCAAACAACTGGGGCCCAAGTTTCTGGGCCTGTCTCTGTGCCGTCCCTTGTCGCTTGAGGTTTCGTCTCCCCTCGGGAGACGACTGAATCAGAGGCAATCGCCATCACTCGCAGCCCTCGGCGCCCGCCATGGCGCCTCTCGCTCGTCGTGCTGGCTGGGCTGCTGGCACTCCGCCATGGCGTGACGGGGGCTCTGACGGCTACTGGAAGTGCGGGCAGTGCGGCTGCGGCAAGAACCTTGGTCATTACTGGTTCTGCAAGCAGTGCCGCGGCAAGCGGAAGGAGGTCGAAACTGCCAACCCGCCCCAGCCCCGTGGAGCCTGGGCAGGAGACTGGCAGCGCACGCCATGGCAGGAGAAGCCGTCCATGGAAGGTCTCCCTGTCGGCCTCCAGGGCGGTGCGGCCCCTCCGCCTGTTGCTGGGGGCAGGACAAGCTCTCGGATGACGAAGTGGTGCAGCTCACCAGCCTCCATCGGAAGATGGGCAACGAGGCTTCGGCAGCGGCCCTGCAGCTCAGGCTCGAGAAGCGACGTGCTGGTGACCCTCCTGTTCCCTTGCATGCCCAGGCTAACCAGGTTGATCGGCACATCAAGCAGCTGGAGAAGAAGCTCCAGCATGCTTTGGATCAGTATGCTAGGTGGTCGAACTGGCTCGCCGACTAGAAGGAGTCCACTGGTGCGGTGCCGCGCGAGCTGGCGGGCGAGATGCAGAAGTACCAGGGCATGGTTGACCAACTTCGGGCCGAAGTCTGTCCAGCGCCTGCCGCGCCGCAGAAGCCTCGCCTCGCCCTCCGGGACCTCCTGGATGAGTCCAGCGACTTCCTGGATGTGGGCAGCGTCGAGGAGGTCTTCGGGGTGGGCGGCTCTGTCTACGAGGTCCAGGAGTCCGACTCCCAGGAGTTCGAGAAGAGGACCGCGCAGCTCAAGGAGTCGACGCAGACGGCCGCTCGCCAGCTCTTTGGCGATGCCCAACGGCGCTTCAAGAAGCTTAAGGAGGATCACGCCAAGCACGCCCAGAGAATGGGTAAGAAGCGTGAGCTTGGTGTTTCAGGTGAAGCTGCCGCGTCGCCACCTGAAGGGTCGGGGGGGCCCGAGGGCGAGGGGCCCGAGATCATGCTGGAGACGGTGGAGGTGATTCTTCGAATGGAGCGGCGGCGTCATCGTCGGGGGGCGCGGCTGGGCCATCGTCGGCGGCGCAGTTGCTCGCCGGCGCGGACAAGCTCATCGGCCCCCTGTCGGACCCCCCCCCCCTGCCAGCGCGTGGCCGACAGGGGGGGCTTCGTGGGCGCGTGATTTTGCGCGGCAGCAGTGCCGCTACTCCAGCGTCTGGGTCGACTGGTCCTCCTGGTCATCGACGGCGGCTTCAGGCGCGCCCTGCGAGGGGCGGCGCGGATGGGTGCTCGCCCAGCCATGGGGCCCCAGTCATTTCTGTTCGAGCGGCTCTTCAGAGCGCCAAGCAGTTTTTAGGCTGCCCACCGAGGGCGGCATGCATTCGGACCCGCCCAAGTTTTGGTCAGTGCCCTCCTGCCCTGGTTGTGCGTTTCAGCTGTCGATCGAAGCGGTGAATTTCACGAGTTGGTCTTCCCTCGAGTCTTGGCTTGTAACCGCGACTTCCCGCGTCGTACTCGTGCGCCGCCTCGTATCGAACGACGACGTCGCCAAGGCAGGACAATGGGCGCTACAGAGGGGATGGGAGGCTCGGTTCAATCTTGCGACCCGCATTTCGGCGGGAGGCACCTCTGGAGGTGTCGCGATTTTGGTTCGCTCATTCCTGGGTTTCCACGATCCCGAGTTCGGTCAGATCGTCGTCCCGTCCAGGGCCATGAGTGGTATTGTTCAGATTCCAGGGGCTCCGTCGATCCTGGTCTCGTCGGTCTACCTCTTCGATGGCGAGGACCTCGCTGGCAGGAGTCTCGAATTGCTCGCGGCCGTGTCGGCCAGAAATTGTTCGTTTGAAGGTCCGAACCTGGTCGGGGGCGACTTTAACGTGGCGCCTGATGTATTGGTCGCCTCTGGGGTTCCTGGATATCTTAAGTCTAGCGTCATTTATCCTGATTTCGGCAAATGCACCAGTGCTGGGGGCTCAAGGGTTCTCGATTACTTTGTGTTATCATCAGGCTTCAGTCGCTGCATCCAGGAGGTTTCAGCCGTCCTGGGCAGCGACGTCAAGGCGCCCGCGCCCGTGCGCATCCTCTTTTTACCCGCAGTTGGCTGTGCTCAAGGCCCTCGCTTTCCTCCGCCCGCCCATGCTGCCGTCCGAGCGCCCCGTCGGGCCGGCGCCGTGCTCGGAGGACCGCGCCACTCTCCTGGATTGCGCCCGTGTGGGTCGTGAGTTGAGCGTCGAGCTTCGAGGTCCCAGGTCCAGAGGCATCTTGACCTGCTATATCGAGTTAGGGCCGATGCGGCCGAGTGGGGGCTTTCCAGAATTTGCAGACCGATCTGGTGATATGGTGGCCCCGCGGATGGGGGCCTCGTCTGGCCTGGGTTTCTGCCCTGGGCAGAGACACCCGCCCTCCTGTTCGGGATCCTGGTCTGGTATCTGGTCGATGGTTGTCGAGGGCCCCGAGGTTTATCTTGGGGGCGGTCGATTCAGGAGACGCCGCGGCATTCGCCCGTTTTCGGATTCATTTGCTGGGCCCTCCCGCGCAGGTTCGTCGGTATTGGGGTGGATTTCAAGATTTTTTCAGCAGGGATGTGGGCTCCCCGAGGGTTTTCAATATGTTTCCCAAGATGCAGGTCTCCGAGAATTACAAACTCTCAGAGCCCAGCGTAGCGGAGTATGCAAAGTCTTCCTCGCAGCGGTCTTTGAAGGAGTGGCGTAGCTGGCTTCTGGATGGAGTTGACAAAAGGGGGTTAAAACGCTCGCCGCTGGACTCGTGGGTTGAAACCTTGGGTGGCGACCGCCGCGTTGTCTGCCGACGGGCTTGTTCTGTCGGACACTGCGTCCCCGCTGCAGTCGGAGGGGGGGCGGTTCGGGGCCCTCTGTGCCCGCATGTTGGCGAGTCTGGGCCCCTGGATTACATGGGGCCGTTGGAGTCGCTTTCGGCAGCGGATTTGATTGCTGTGAGCAAGACTTATGCTGTAGGCACGGCCACCAGTGTTGACGGGTTTCCTATGCGGCACTACTCCTTTTTATGCATGCCGACCTGTTGGACGCCGTCAGCACCTTATTTCGGAGGTTGGGGGGTGAGATCGAAGTGGAACGGACAGCCCCCCTACCGGGAGATCGATTTCGGTTTCGTGTTCGTGCGTGCCGTGCGGGCGAGGCGAAGCTGCGTGGGCGGGCGAGAGAAAGTCTCCGCGGCCGGAGCAAGAGAACCTTGACTGGGCGGCCGGTGCCCCGCGGTGTCCCGCCGGTGCCCCGCTGGTGTCCCGTGTGGCTGAGGCGCTGCCGGGGCAAAAGAACCTTGACCGGGCGGCCCGTGCCGCGCGGTATCCTGGCGGTGTCCCGCTGGTGTCCCTTCGGTGTCCGGTCGGTATCCCGCCGATGATGACGTGGATGATTATGATGATGATGCTGGTGATGATGATGATGGTAACGGTGATGATGATGATGGTGTTGGTGATGGCGATGATGATGATGTTGGTGTCGTTGATGATGATGATGATCATGATGATGATGATGATGACGTCGATTGTGAGATCGATTGAGATATCGATAGTGAGACCGAATGTGAGATCGATTGTGCGATGCTGATGGTGATGATGGCCATGATGGTGATGATGATTGTGATGATGATGACGACGTTGATGATGATGGTGCTGATGATGATTATGATGATGACGATGATGATGCTGTTGATGGTGATGTCGATGATGATGATGACGACGTCGATAGTGATATCGATTGTGAGATCGGTAGTAAGACCGAATGAGACAGCGAATGAGGTCTTCTCTCAGGTTCTCCTCCACCACGCACCCCTCGGTTCTGGACCTCCCCTTTTCCCTCCTCCTCCCCCCCATATCAGCTTCCTCATCCTTCGACGGTCTTGGGGGCCATGATCAGCCATGACCGTCGGCGTCGTGGTCGTCGTCGCCGTCGGACCGCAGCCCATCGCGGTTCTGCCTTCGGACACTCCGCCCGGACCTTCGGCCGGCGCCGCCTCCACTGTTGCCCATTGCTGGGCCCCCCCCCCCCGCCCTCCCCGACCTCCTTATCACCCGCAGGGTGGTCGTATAGGTATGATGATGGAAGCCGCGGGCCTCCTACTGCACCCTGCTCAGGTGCTGATGGCCGCGCTGCTGCCGAAACCAGCGGGCGGGTGCCGCCCCATTGGGCTTTTCTCGTCTTTATACAGGCTGTGGGCGCGCGCCCGACGGCCCTATGCAGAGCGCTGGGAAGCCGGGCATCAGAGATTGTACCTTGCATCTGGTTCGTTCAATTCTGCTTCGGATGTCGTGTATCCCCAGGGGGTCAAGAGCGAGCATGTCGTCAGTCGTGGGCATAGCTGTTGCAAAATCCATGGGCTTTCTATACATTCTACGAGACGATTCGGCTTACCAAGCTGCTAGATCGG